CAGCGGACACCGCCGCCCGCGCCCTCATTTGAATGCAAAAGTGCACCGCACTATGAAAATAGCGGCGCACTCGTCGCACTCGTCCGCGCGGGAAACAGAATGTGACGCCACGAGTGGGATGCCGTGTCGTCTCGTCACCGGCCACCTGCACTGGAGGCGGCACACAGACACAGACACAGACACACACACACACACACACACAGACACACACACACACACACACACACACAGGCACGCACGCCGCGACGACGACGGCGCGAAATATTTTTCCTAGTTAGTTGCGGCCCCCCAAATCAAAACAAGCGGTCGCTCCTTTTGTTTGCTCGGAGGACGTGTCACGCTAATTTCCATTTCGATCGCTAATGTGTGCCATTGTGTTTCGTTTTATGAAGCGCGGCCGAGCCCGGCCAAGCCGCGCCGATTTCCATTTTTCGCGAAGCGAGGGGCGTTAGTTAGTTTTTGCGCGGCGCGCGGGGGCGGGGACAGCGACAGACCGGCCACTCTGTGTGTGTGTGTGTGTGCATGTGCGTGACCGGGGACAAAGTAGTTGCGGTCGGGCAGCAGTCTTTTTCGGTGCCCGTCATTGGTGCCGCACTTTGTCCTTGTTTTTTCGTTCCTTTCTCTTTTTTTTTGCGAGCGCCGCGCTTGCATTTTGTGGCAGTTGTTTCCAGTAGTCGAATGCGGTCGCCACAATTGATGGCTTTCTTTGATGTGCGGCGGGCGGTGCACTGACGTGGCCCGGAAGGGATTACCCCGGAACTATTTACATGTCGTACTTCGCCACCGTTTTGGCGGGGCGTACAGTGTGTGTGTGTGTGTGTGTGTTGGAGCAGGGCTGGTCGTCTCTGCGGCACCCTTGGGTAAGTTCGGCACTGTGTGCAACACACACGCTCGGCATCCTTGGCAGTGGGGCTGCTGCCCGTCCCGTTTTAGGGCGGCCCGACCTGCAGCAAGCCTTGCCCGCCTTGAGGCAGGTCAGCATCCTCGGCATCCTCGCTGCTCCTCGCGTCACGTCTCGTTGGCACCACGCGGCCCTCGGCGAGCCTGGCCGCCTTGCCGCCCTAGTCGCGGCTTGACGAGATCTCCGACGAGGTCCTCGCCGAGGTCCCCGACGGCGTCCCCGACGGCGTCCTCGCCTAGGCCCCGCCCAGGGCCCCTGGCGAGTAGGCAACCCGGCGCGGCCCTGTGCGTTACGGGCGGGCATCCCTCCGTGCCCGGGCGCTAGTTGTCGCGCTCGCGGCGCGCGGTGACGTCACCCACTTTCGGGGGCCGCCCGGGCGCTCCCCGCACGGCCACTGCGGGCCTTCCAACACGATCCACGCCGTGGAGCAGGCCTGGCGCCGCACCGCCGCCGTGAAGAACCTAGGCAGCCCCAGCAGACTGAGACTCGTTTTCGTCGCTCTGTCTCTCTCGCACCTACTGAACGCCCGAGCGCGAGAGGGACAGAGCGACGAAAACGACTCCCCCGGTTGACCGCGACTTGGCGGCGGGCGGCGCGGCGTCGCGGGTCCGTCCTGAAATACTTGGCAACGCGCTCAAAGAAATCTATAACGAACACGGGGGGAGGGGGCAGGAGTCGTTAACCCCCGAGTAGTGTACGAACGCCACGCGCCGCCACGCCTCACCGAGCCTCCCCAGGGAAAAGAGGAGGAAAGAGAGGAAAGGATTGCACTGCTTGCGCAGCTCTCGGCCGCCAGAGCGCAGCGCGCGCCGGAACGGCGCAAAAATCGGCTATCTATTTTTGTGGCGGCCGCGGGGGAGGGGGGGGGGGAGGGCGCTGCGCTCAAGAGGAAACGCTTTGCTGCAGGGCAAGGCGCCCAGGTCGACTGAAATTATTGACTTTGATAGTTTGTTTACTTTTGACTGAAGCTCCAAGTTTGCTGCATTCAGTCACTTGTAAATCGTTCGATTTGACCGATTTTTTTTTTCAGTGTCTGGGTGGAGAGGTGGGGCTGTCGATCGTGAGAGCCAAGGGCACCTTGACCGGAATCCAGCTTCGGTCGGCGGGTGTCGCATTGCGGAGACGCTGCACCACGCTGCACTATTGGTTGGTATTCCCCATCTCGGCCACCTCGCTGGCGTCCGAGGGGGTATGCGCTCTCTGAACCTGTGTACCGACTATTACGCTATTACGCTCTATTACGCCACAAATTAATCGGAATTTGGTTAAAAACGGCCTAAAACACACCAAAATTGATAAAATTTTGACAATTTCGGCTATTACGCGACTATTACGCGTATTATTACGCGTGCTATTACAGATAGAGTGAACCGACTATTACGCGAGTGCATACCCCCTCGCTGGCGTCCGACTGGCGCGGCGGTCCAGCCCGGGCCGCGGACGGCCGCTCTGTCTCAAGCCGGCGCACAGTGGGCCAGAAGACCGGTGGAGGCAGCCAAAACTCTAGACGCGTTTTGGGCTCCAGGGTCGCTAAATGGGACTCGAACCGGACGTGTGACCCCACCAATGGATTGCTCTCCGAACGAGGAATCCATTGGTGGGGTCACACGTTTGGTTCGAGTCACATTTGGCGACTCTGGAGCTCAAAACGCGTCTAGAGTTTTGGCCGCCTCCACCGGTCTTCTGGCCCACTGTGCGGGGCCGGCCGGCCGGCTGGCTATGCAGGCCATAGACACGGCGGCTATTTCGGTGGTCACGTGTCCCACGATCGCCCCACTTGTATCGCCCGTGGCATAGGCGATGTGTGGCACTGGGTTGCGCTGGGTTGTTGGCGTCGTCCCGTGTGTTTGGGTTATAATGTAGGCAAGGCGCGCCTCGCGCGGCGCCGTCCGCGGGTGTAACGCACTCTCTCTCTCTCTCTGTCTCACACACTCTGAGCCAAAATTCAGGAAATCCGTGTCAAATCTTTGTTTTTTTGCGACCGTTTTACGAGGGAACTTCCCCGCGAAGGAGAGGCGTGCAGCGAGAGAGTGCGAGGCTGGGCGTCGTCCCAGCGTGCGCGTTGTCCGCCCAGCGGGGAAGGCATCCCGGCCCGTCCCGGCCGTCGAGAATGGCACCTGCCCGATGTAGCTCCTGCTTATCTCTGCAGTGTCGCGGCGTCGCGGCGTCGCGGCAGAAGGGCGTATGTCGCGGGGACACGCACGGGGATACGGCGGATGCGGCGCATATGGGCTGGCCAGTGATATTTGCAGTGATTTATTTCCGGTCGCGTCTTTATTCTGCCTTCCTCTTCCAGCACTTGCAGAGAGATGCTCGGAGATGGCGGCCTGCTGGTGCTCTGCCCGTCCTCGTGGTGCCCGTCCCCGTCGCCCTCCTGGTCATCACGCCTCGTTACAGCTTCCGCGACGCCGTCCAAAGTGGTTGACGGCGGCGGTAGATTACCCCATCCGACGCAGTAACCCAATCTTATTTTGCGCCCCATTTTTTTCCCCGCGGCTCTGCCGGCCCCTCCCCCTCCCCCTTCACTCACCGCGGCGTCTTGAATTTCCACCCTCTAAGTGGCAACGGTGCCTCAGCCGTCCGTCCCCGGCGTCCCTCCCTCGCGCAAAGTTTTCACATTTTTCCCCGCCGCCGTGGTGGCGGTGGTGGTGGCGCGGTGGTCGCGCGGACGCCTTCCCGCGGCGCCGCGACGCCTCCGGGCGCTCCGGGCGACGCCGCCGCCGCCCTCCCTCGCGTATTTGAAGGCCGTCTGCCGAGAAACGCTTGCCGAGAAATAAAAGTAAATATGGAGTGCGAGTGCGTTGCTTCGGGCTGGTCCCCGCTGCCCCGGCCGCCCCGCCGCCGCGGCGCGCCGCCCCGGTGGCCCCAGCCCCTTTAAATACATTAAAGCGCCTTATCGGGCGAGGTGAAGGGACGCCGCGACGCGCCGCGAAAGAAGAGAGAACAAGACACTTCTTGAACTTGGTCCTCCTCTTTCCTGGAGCGCCGCGCCGGGCCGCCCGGCCAGGCCGTGGAAGAAGGCTGTTCTTTCTTAGATCTGCTGTCGCGCGACTTGAAAAATGTGCAAAGTTGGCGGCCAAGAAAAAGGACGTGGCGGCGTCGTGCCCCGTCAGATGAAAAATTCTGCGGGACAGCGCGCCCGCGGTGGTGGCGGTGTGGTGGCGGTCGGCGTCGTTGTCGTCGTGGTGGTGGAGGGCCACCAGTAAATCAGCTGGGCGACGGGCCGCGCAGTTCACCTTCTAATGAGAGCCTTTTTCGCGGTTCGTCATTATTCGGTGGGGACACTGCAAAACACACACACACACACAAACGCGCAGGGCCGTACGCACACCAATTATTACAGTTCTTTCGACGAAGCTGCAAAAATAAAAGGACGGCCGGTGGACATGCTGGCACCGGAATGAAACCACTTTGCAAACAACTACAACACGCATTGGGTTTAATGATATCGTTTCGTGCGGCCGGGTGGCCCGGCTTGCGGCCCGGGCGGCGGGGCGCTTTGAAGAGAGGGCGCGCTGCCCGTCTTGTCCCTGTCACTCCTCGAGGAATAACTTTACGCGGCAATTTGCTGACCGGTGCCGCGGCCGGTATGCCATTCAGGCTTCGGGCCCATATGCCCTGCCGTATCGGGCGGCGCGATCTCGAGCGCGTCAACGCCGAGGCGGCCGAGGCCTTCGGGACGTGCGCGTGGCCGTCGAGGCCGTGAAGGCCGCCGAGGCCGTGGAGGCCGTCGAGGCCGCCACAACGGACGGACGTCGTCCTCCTGGAGCGCAACGCCAGGCCAAGGCCGTCGGTTAATGATGTCTGTGTGTTGGGCCGGCCGGCCGCTGCCCCGGTGGCCTCGGCCAAGGCCCTCCGCCAAATTAGACGTTCGGAGCGCCACGGGTCAGGCTGGGCGCGCTGGCCGCGCACGCGCGCCGCCGCCGACCTCGGCCGGACTGGCTGGACTTCCGTTGGGACTGTTGGGTCATTCCATGTGAAATCGACAAGGTTCAAATCGACCAGTGCTCCGATTTTGATGAAACTTGCAGCGATTGTTGGTCTTATGGTCCCATTGAAGTTGCCAAAATATTTTGGTCGAAATGTCAAAGAAGTCTGAGTAGTGCACGATTCAATTTTTTTCACTTTTTGTGAATGGGTATCCGTTTTTTGCTAATATCTCCGGAACTATTCGTCGTACGACAAAAATGAGTACACCGTTGGAAAGAGGAGAAAAAACTGAATAAAATCAAAAAAAAATTATTTTTTTTGGAGAAAAAAAATTTTCTTTTATACTAAACTCAAACTTTCAAAGTTATGTTTGAAACTGTTCCCCTTCATCAAAATTGACATGCTATGGCTCAAAAAGTAGCTTTACCCTTCCCCTAAACGAAAATGTCAATCATACAAAGTACTTTTTTTCGTTTGGGAGAACGAGCGATTTCCGTGGACCTCTGCACTGGATCCGGGCCTACCCTCTGCCTGAACGGTGCACAACGGCCCGGCGCTGTGGCACCGCGGTGTCCTGCCACCCACCCCCATCCCTTTCCGCAGTTCCCAGAGCAGAAGTAGGGGCGCCTGGAGGGTAGGCCGCACCCCGCACGCCGCCCCGGGCTCCCACGGTCACCGCCCAGCAGGTAGGCAACCCTTCCTATTCACCCCGAGCCTTGCTTCGTGGCGCAGCCGAAGTGCAGCCGAAGTTGATGCGAAAACGGCATTCCCCCCGACGGTGCTGCCAGTGTTTGGGCTGTGGCGACAAGACGAACTTGTTGTTGTTCGTTTGTCTTGGTTTGTTTACTTTCTGCACCGACTACTTGTTGGAGTAAATATTTTTTGAGCATTGACTTTGAGTCGATTTTATGCCCTGAAAAGGTCCGTTTTTCTTGTGTACGAGTTCTTTCTCTTTTTTAAAAAATCTGATATTATAGGATTGTGCTTTGGTTTGATGACGCTTCTTGTTTTATTTTGAGGTTTGGTTTCTTTGTGGTTCAGGTTCCCCCTGCACAATGGGCCGAGCAGACACCAAGAAGTGTTTCCTGAGAAAGGTACAACATCTTCCTGATGTTGGTGCCTGCTCTGGGGATTTCACTGCAAGAGCCAGCCTATCTCCAGAAAGGATTCGTTTGCTCAAGATCAGAAGTGGCTGCAGAAAGAGTTTGCAGTATGTTTGTGATGGACATTTCACTAAGTTCATTCACCGCTTTGAAGCACACCAGAAAAACTGCTGTCTTCATCAGTCAACATCTGTTCATGATGGCCCTCCAGCCAAAAAGAAAAAAACTGGCACTCCTCAATTGCATGTTATTACACTCCAAATGCGGGACAGTGCCAAAACTATTGGACTTGCTTTGGTGCCCGGCAAGAAAGTGTGTGTCAAGTGCAAGATTGACCTGAACGCTAAAATCAAAGCTGCTGAAAAATCTGCCGCAGAAAAGGCTGCTCAAGAATCTTCAAGCAACGCTCCTGACCCGGCTTCAATTTCCAACCCTCCTATATTTTCGTCACCTAGTGTAGGGTCTACTTTGGCCCCCAGTGATATTACAACTCCCACTGTACCTGCTGATAATAAGGCTTCTAAAGAAGAGTTTTTTCAGGAGAGTATTGATGGATTAAATACTTGGCTGTCCTCTCTTGGATTCTCTCCTGTTAATGAAAGGAAATTAAAGACTCAGAAGAGCTATGGGCGTAAAGTTATGAAGAAAATAAGAGCAGCGCTGACAAAATTTTCTGATCAACAACTAACTGAGGACGAAGATGCAGCATACTTCAGAGAAATAATAGGCCAACTACAGCAATTTATTGATTGTCATCCCCAGCCCGATAAAAAATTATTAGCTTTATCAGTTGTACCAAAAAGTTGGAGCATTTCCAGGATTGAAAGCACATTTGGGGTATCCAACTACATGGCGAGGAAAAGCCGTCTACTAGTGCAAGACAAGGGTATTCTGTGTGGCCCGGGTCCTAAAGTGGGACGCAAACTTTCACCTGAGACAGTGGAGCTGATCACCAAATTCTACTACAGGGACGACATAAGTCGGCCTCTCCCTGGAGCCAAAGATGTACTGAGTGTTTTAGTGGACGGGAAGAGAGTGAAGAAAACTAAAAGACTAGTGCTGTCTACTCTCAGTTGCTTGCATCAAAAGTTTAAAGAAGAACACCCTGATCACAAAGTCTCTTTAGCTAAATTTTGTGAACTGAGACCAAAAGAGTGTGTATTAGCTGGTAGTGCCGGGACTCATGTGATTTGTGTGTGCACCTATCATCAGAATCCAGAACTTATGTTTGAAGCGGGAAATCTAAGTGAAGCTGGATTAGAAAATATAAAAGCGTGCAAAAAGTTGCTTTTATGCTCAGAGCCTAGTGAAGACTGTTTTTTTCGAAGATGTAATGACTGTTGTGATTCCACTGTTTTACAGGAAAAATTGGAAGTTTATTTTGACTCAGAAATGATTTCCACTGTGGTTTACAACCAGTGGGAGTCCACAGACCGGGCAAATATTGTAACTTTAAGTAAATCTACTGATGATTTTATTTCTGAGTTTATATCGCAGATTGAAAGTCTCATACCCCATGATTTTATTAGCAAAGTGCAAGCAAATTTCTATAAGGAATCAATTGAAAATTTAAAAGATGGTGAAGTTGTTGTTAATGTTGACTTTGCAGAAAATTTCTCTTTTGTTGTACAAAATAGCTCCCAGGGGTGGTACTTTAATAATAAACAGGCGACATTGCATCCCTGTTTGATTTATTATAAAGATGCAGAGGGCAAAGTATGCCACTCAGCATTTGTTTTGATATCAGATCACTTGGATCATAGTACTGCTGCAGTGCATACATTTCAGAAAAAATTGATCCGTCATATAACTGAGGACCTCAAGATAAAGCTGGCTAAAATCAAATACTTTTCAGACGGTTGTGCTGCTCAGTACAAAAATAAAAAAGCTGCCGCCAATGTATGGTTTCATGAAAGGGATTTTGGAGTACCTGCAGAATGGCACTTTTATGCTACGAGCCATGGAAAAACTGCCTGTGATGGTGTGGGCGGCATGATCAAACATACTACAATGTTGCATTGCCTACGCTTAACAGCAAAAGACCCACAAATAACAATTGCATATGATTTCTATGATTGGGTGTCTAAAAACATTCAAGGAGTGACTGCTAAATGGGTTCCGAAAGAAGAAGTTATTGAAAATGAAAAGGCTTTACTTGTGAGATTTGAGACAGCTTTTGACATTGATGGAATCAAATCCCACCATGCTTTAATTCCTAGAGTGCCATCAAAGGATATCTTACTTAAGTTGTATTCACAAGATACAAAATTTAATATTAAGAAGATATGTACCAAAGAATTTGAACTAGACTATAGTGAGGTAAAAGGATTTGTAACATTTACAGAAGACGAAAATTCCTGGAAGCTAGGCTGCGTATCTGAATTCCATGAAGAGGATGAAAACTTTTCGGTTCAAGTTATGGAAGCTACTGGACAACCAAGAAGTTACAAGTTTACTGATATTGTTATAATTGTTAGTCTACATGACATTGTAAGTCTAGTTAATCCGTACTTTCAAGCCAAAGGGACAATTGTGAAACTTCGAGTAAGTGATGCTAAGGCAGCAGATGTAAAATTAAAATCTAAGAAAAAAAATATGTTTTGAAGCAAGGTATAACTTGCAGCTACAGTTATACTACTTAAAAGGTTCAGAGGAAGGTCAGATAATTTTTATGTATAAAAACAACTTTGAATAAACACCCAGCATTTTAAAGTTTGTGTTCGATTTAAATTTCCTAACAATTTGAAAGAAATCTCAGTCTGGTAACAAACATTTGACAATGTGCAACACAAACTCTCGCCTAGGGCCATACTGAAAATTTGAAGGTCAAGAAGGAGATGGAGTAGGGGGAGGGGACAGGGGAAGAGGGGTAGTAACGTAGGATGAGTTGCCTACCTGCTGGGCGGTGACCGTGGGAGCCCGGGGCGGCGTGCGGGGTGCGGCCTACCCTCCAGGCGCCCCTACTTCTGCTCTGGGAACTGCGGAAAGGGATGGGGGTGGGTGGCAGGACACCGCGGTGCCACAGCGCCGGGCCGTTGTGCACCGTTCAGGCAGAGGGTAGGCCCGGATCCAGTGCAGAGGTCCACGGAAATCGCTCGTTCTCCCAAACGAAAAAAAGTACTTTGTATGATTGACATTTTCGTTTAGGGGAAGGGTAAAGCTACTTTTTGAGCCATAGCATGTCAATTTTGATGAAGGGGAACAGTTTCAAACATAACTTTGAAAGTTTGAGTTTAGTATAAAAGAAAATTTTTTTTCTCCAAAAAAAATAATTTTTTTTTGATTTTATTCAGTTTTTTCTCCTCTTTCCAACGGTGTACTCATTTTTGTCGTACGACGAATAGTTCCGGAGATATTAGCAAAAAACGGATACCCATTCACAAAAAGTGAAAAAAATTGAATCGTGCACTACTCAGACCCCTTTGACATTTCGACCAAAATATTTTGGCAACTTCAATGGGACCATAAGACCAACAATCGCTGCAAGTTTCATCAAAATCGGAGCACTGGTCGATTTGAACCTTGTCGATTTCACATGGAATGACCCTGTTTTGCTTCTTCACTCGGCTGCACTCGGCTGCACTCTCCGGCCGGCTCTGTCAGATGCAGCACGGTTGATTGCTCTAGGCACGCCTAGACCGTGCGAGCGAGTGTGCTCGTGAGCTTGCGTGTGTGTGTGTGTGTGAGGGGGAGGGGGAGTGCGGGCGCGCCGGTGGTGGGGGTAGGAAAAAATTGTGCCAAAGGGGAGAAAAGAGTCGGTGGGAGGGAATCGCCTAGCGAGGCTAGGAGTGGTGGGGGAGCGGTGGTGGGGGTGGCGGCGAAAAAAGATCGCAGACAAAGGAGAAAAATGAGGAAGATTGGGGGTGGTTGGCCAGCCCAGCCCGGCCCAGCCCGGCACAGCCCGCGGAGGAGGAGGGGGTGGAGCCACCGGCGCCTCCCTCGCCTCGCACCGCCGTGCCGCCGTCCCGCGGCAGCGTCGCGCATTTTTATCCCATTTCGTTCCTATCTCATTTTCCGTTACCGCGCGATTTTTAAGCCTCTCGCGACGCCCTCAAAGGGGTGCGACGGGCTCACACCACCCCGCCGCGCCCCGCCGCACCCCGCCAGGCACCGGGCCGGCAAATGGGTGCCGTATTTTTCTGATGATGTGAGATTGGGGCGTCGCGCGCGTCGCGTCGGCGGGCTCGACTAGTCGGAGGGCAGGGCCGGCAGGGCGGCCGCCTGTCTGCAGGGACGCCTCTGCTTTTGAAGCGCCGCGCGTGGCAGAAAGAAATGGGAAAAAGCAGAGGGGTGCGGCCCGCGCGGCCTGGGCGGCCCGGGCGCGGCGGAGAGGACTGGGGAAGGCTTAACTAGAGTTTATTTGCTCGCGTTAGGCTAGGCGTCGCTGTCAGCCGTGTTTTATTTTTCCAAGGAAGCGAACGGCACCACGATCGTCTTGTTTGAGTCCAGGATGGCGAGGCGCAGCGAAGCGCCGCTCGCCCTGCCCCAACTAGATTCTTTCCCTTTCCGTTCCTCAAACAAAACTTTGGGCCGACCTGCTTCCTCCCGACCGCAGTGACCCGTTCGGCCCCGTGACGTGCCCGTGCCTTGGCCTGTGCCCCCGTCAGGGCAAACAGCCACCTAACGCGTGGAGGAAATCTCGGCAAGAAGAGCCTTCAGAAGGCGACACTGGGGAGGCGAAGATCGGTTCGTCGCTCTGTCTCTCTCGCACCCTTACGGAGAGGCCCATTAGTGCGACAGAGACAGAGCGACGACACGACTCTTCGCCCGGCTGCTTCTCCGTGATTGCTTCCTTTTTGATTGGCAACGGAGCCGGTTCATTTTTCGCGTTGCTTCTCATTGGAAGGCAACAGTCCGTCATCTATATTGTTTTTTCCGGCCCGTTCCCTCCCGTTCTATTTGCGCAATTAATTAAAAGTCTGATTCATTAGACATTCGGCGGCCCTCGTTGCTTTTTTCCTGTTTCTCCTCCAGCAGCTGGCGAAATTGAGAGGGATTGTTTTCTCTGGAAATTGATTTGATGGCCCCGCTCGGGCGGCAAAGGAGACGAGGAAAAGGAGAGAGAAAGGGTGAAATGTAGAAAAGGAAAGAGGGAAAAGGAGGCTGACGGGGCCTTGCGCTAACCCGCGGATCCTTTGCGGACCCTTTTTTTCTCTTCTAATTACGAAAGGAGGAAAAAGCAGGCAATTGTACTTATTTTTCACATTAGCTACCGGGCAACAATCATTACCCCCGCTGGACACGAGGAGGCGAGGCGAGCCCGTCCAGCGACACACGCCGGCAAGAAAGGCGTGCACCCTTTGAAGGCTTTGAAGCGCTCCGCCTGCCTGCCTGCCTGCTCCAGGCTGCTTCCCGTAAGAAGTGCACCAAACTTGCTGCAACCGTTGCGACATGCGGTGCATTGCATTACGCGCCAGACGCACCTTTTCCAGCAACTCACGTACACTCTCGGCGAGAAGTTGACAAAAATCGCTTTCGTTTTCCGTACCTTGAGATATTAAAGCCTAACGCCGAAAAGTAAGTGCAAATACGGCAGCAAGCTTTAACAGAGTGCGTTCCTTGTTTGCCTTCTTTTAATTTGCCCAATCCGATCTCTTTTTTTTTTTTTTTCCTGTGTACAGTGGCAAGGGACCAGAGCATATGACGTCGTGGCCACTGCAAACCTGGGCCGGCCGCGCGCTGCCCGCTAGCCCTCGGGGGAAAGGGTTATGGCCGAATGAAAATGACGACAAAAAAGAGCTCCGGACCGGACAATATATTACTTAAAACAAAAGGCGCGAGGCTGGGCAGGGGAGACCGGCAGGTCGGCAGGACGGCAGGACGGGATGGGACAGCCGGCAGACGCGACAACAGCGCGTCGTGTCCGTCATGCATCGAAATCCGAGAGTAACCACTGCGTGCCTCGCTGGCTGTCTGGACGCGGACCGCGCAGCGTCTCGGGACGGCGACTTTCTTCCAACGAGAACAACGGAGGAGACAGTTCAAAGGAGTAGTCCTGAAGCTCGACTGATTCAGCTACGAGCAACTCCATAGTTCAACAACAATTTTCGAAAATCGCTTGAAATTTGCTTCTTTGCTGCTGAGTGTGTGCACTGAGAGGTGCACTCTCTTCTTGACTGAACGCGCTCCAGCTAGATTTGTCTACTCGCTACGTAGCATCCTCCAAACCAAAACCGCTTTCCAGATATCTTTTTTCGTAACGATTTTTACTCCTCGGACGTGGTCCGCGCGCGTGGATGCGGCGGTGGGCCACCCCGTCCCTCTCTCTCTCCTATCCTAGTCACTGCTCCCTGGACGAGCGATAGCCTTTGTCCTTTGCGACGATATTATGAAATAAAAACACGCTTGCGAGCGCACGCGCTGTCCCTGGCGGCACACACACACACACGCACTCACACACACACACACATGCGGGTTCGTCCCTCCGAAACGCCCTTCCCCGCGTCCCCCTGGCCACACCCGTCCGAGCACGCACACACACACACACACACACACACACACACACACACATACACACACACATACACACAGACACACACGCACACACACTCGGCAGCGTCACCTTGCCATGCGGCTCAACCCCTCCGCATGAAAAGAAATCCTTTTTCCTCGGCCGGCCACGCGGGGCATCAGGACTGCAGGGCCGGGCAGGGCCGGGCCAGGCACGCACCCCTGTCCCCCGACCCTTTCTGGACCTGACCTGTGCTGGACCCATCCGTTCCCGCACCCCTTGACCACCGAGGCTCTGAGGGGTGCGTGCTCCCGCACCCCTCCCTTTCACCCCGTCGGACCGGACCCTGCACTGCACCCTTGCCGAATCCGCCGAGGAGCAAGGACTAGTCGCAGCAGGCGCGGCGAGCATAAGCGCCCACCCAACGCAGGAATCCGGATCCCCCCGCCGGACTGGCAGCTTGCTGACCTGGGTTTGACCCGGATGTGATGTGACCGAGCCGTCCTGCGTGTGTGTGTGTGTGTGTGTGTGTGTGTGTGTGTGTGTGTGTGCGCGTGTGTGTGTGTGTGCGTGTGTGTGCGTGCGCTCTGCCGCGGTGGACCGGTCCATCTGACGTGTGCGCCGCGTGTGCGCGCGCGGAGGGGCTACACAGTGGAAACACTTCTTTTTTCGACTGCTAATTAATTTCGACCATTTTCGGAGTGAAATTTCGCACTTTTCGGAACGGAAAACTCTTGCGCGCGGGCGTGGCCTCGCGTGGCGGCGGGCCGCGGAGTCGGGCCCGGGAAACGTGGCCGCTCTGAGACGGCCAGGGATTAAAGTCGGCGTGCTCGCGGCGCGTGGCGGCCCACTCCCCACTTTTTTTTTTCACGGTGTACCGGCGGGCAGCATCCCGGTGAAAAGTGGTCGTTGTTTAGTAGTTTGCAACTCATCTTCGTGACCAGCGTGCGTGATGCGATAGTGCGTTCGGCTCACGCTGGGTTTCGGTTTAAACTCGTCACAATGGATAATGGAGTCCGTTTTCCGCGCTTTTGACCAGTTGCTGCACCGTGAACTGAGAGGCGAGGCCGGCGAAGCGGTCCGGCCGGAACAGTGGGCCAGGAGACCGGTGCAGGCGGCCAAAACTCTTAGACGCGTTTTGAGCTCCAGAGCCGCTAAATGGGACTTGAACCGAA